TGAATGTTTGGGGAATCTAGGGAGTATTATTAATTAAGGCGCACGTGCTAAACATCATTAATTACTTAAACACATTATGTCTAAAACAATTGGTAACTACTGCTATGATATTTCTTTTGTTTGTTTGTCAACAACGCCCAAAAAAACTTGCGAAGGTGTATCTTTTCCATTGATGCAGCAACGTCTAAGAATTTCGTATAAAAAGATGATTTACCTGCATATTTGTATACACTTAACTGAATGTAATTCAAAGAATTAGTTTATTCCCAGTGAATTCCCAGTTTATTCCCTTTGAAAATATTTTTCAAGAAACTCTCACAACGTTTTGCTTTTATTTCAATTCTGTTGAAAAATTGTACTAAATGTAAGATTTTTCATAATTCTCTATGCATTTCCCTAACGAGTTTTCGTGATGGGAAATCGGAAAGATAATTGGATTGGATCAATGATGAGGAGGAGGATCGTCGCATTATCGAGCGCATCTGAATAAATGATGCACCATCTGCTAATTTCCTTCGTTAACGGGGAAAAAAGGAAAACCGGAAAAGCTTTGTACAATCTAGATCTAGCGTCCTCGTCCTTTCCATTGTTCCAATTTCATCTGTTTCGCGCACTTGTTTTTATTCGATTCAGTTTTGTTTTCTCTCTGCATTCGTCGTTCGGAATTTATTACCGCCGATGATATCATCATCATCCATGGAAATTGTGTCACGGTTCCGAACGGAACGAAACGAAGGGGGGAAAACTGCGGCGCCGGGCGGCAACAACAACAACGACAGCACAAAATGAAACGAAACAAGAAAGAAAAAAAAAAGAGGGGAAAGATCGAGTCGGGGGAGGAATAGAGTAGGCGGCGCACTTGTCTGAAACTCAGTTTCGCCCAGGACATCATCGCAGGACGCATCGATCCGAGGAGGCAAGGATTTTTAGGACCCGAACAAAAAAAACATAAATAAACAATGGCAATCGTAGTCAGGTTATCAGTCATCAAATTCCTCGAACTGGTGAGTTGTTGCTTATTTTTTTTTTAATTAAATCATAAATTAAAATAGTTTAATTGCAAAAAAAAAAACATATCAATTAATGAATTGAAACACTTTTTTTTGATGATGGTTTATTTTAACGACCTTCAACAGACCATCCTTTTGTTGGCCTTTTAACCGGTTTATTCGTAAATTGACGCAATCTTTCAATTGAAATCTGTTGCGTTTCTCTTCTCGTCTGCACCTGCAGATTCTACGCAATACGCACCTACCTGTGAGAGTTGAAGAACAAATAACAACGAGAAGTTAAGAGCAATGCTCTTCTGGTTTCGTTTTTCCTCAAACAGCGTAAATAGAACGAAAATAGATCCCATCTGTTCCATGTTTGTTGCGAATTCAAGAAGAATAAAATTGCACGTTTCTTTATTTATTTATTATCAAACGAGTCGGCCGTTCTGACCTTTGGATTTTCGTGGCATGATAATTCACGCAAATAGAGTTTGAGTCATCATCATAAAACTTTTCTCAACAAATCGTAACGATTCTCGTTCCTTTATATAACTTCATTGATAAATATAACGAGATTAGAAATCGAGCAGGCGTTATCCAAAGTTTCGATTACTTGCATTATTATACAATAAAATTCGTTGCTAGGCATTACAATAAATAATCCAACACAAAGTGTGTTCCGATTTAAACGCTAAATATATTCGTTGCCAGGTGATTTCATTTGACAGGATAAACGCTTAAATTTGTTTTGTTTTTGACCATTATTTTTAGCCGTAGCCTACTTAAACTCTCTTTTTTTTAACATCCTTTGTGCGGTTTTTTTTTGGAAGGTCGCGCTTCTTAATTTCATCGCTTTACATCTGAAAATATTCTGGCGATGACATCATTACGCGATTATCTCATGGCACTTCTCGAGCAGCGGAAATCGTACGCCTTGCGGAGGCCGATTAAGCGCGGTTTCCTGTTCGAAAGAAATAGTCTTGAAACCACGTATCCTAGGTTGGATAACCTTGCGCTTTTAGGTGGACGATTACATCACGCGCGCGCAAGAAACGCACTGAATTAATTACGTAATTAACGCACTAACGCGGAATATCAATGCGATTATAAATAGATGAGCGATGATGTATGCGGTCAGCATGCAAGAATTTCGATATGCTCAGGATGAACGGTGAACCTTCATCATCAGCAGCTCCGGGAATTATCGTTGCTCCACTATTTATTAGCGACCTTTTGTTTTTTTTTTTCGGACGACTTAAAAATAGATCCAAACAAACATCGGTTTGTTATTTTAATTCTATTTTCAATTAAATTAGTGCTTCGGCAAACATGCATCATTTCAATTAGCATCGACGTAAAAACACGAAAACTTTACTTCACTGAAGAATTCCTAAAGATTGTATAACTTCAATTTTGATTAATGAAAAAATTGCATACATTATATTTGAACGAGTCAGATGACATCTATAGGATAATTATATGTTTATATTAACTAATATTTACGTATATTGGCAATTATTATGTATAAAATAAGTAATTTTGTAAATATAAAAATTACATAATCAAGTCATCTTTTCAAGTCTCCTTTTATTAACTAATGTTGCATACCTCATAAGTAAACTTGTCGAGTGACATCTATACGTAATTTACGAATCATATAAAAATATAATTATAAATATACACCTTAATTGCCAATTTACATACAAACAACTTTATTTAGATCATACTTTAATTAATTATTCATTAATTCTATTAAATTAATGTACATATTTGTAACACTTTTCACACCAGAGTCATTAAAGTTGCAGAGCAGTAACTTTTCTAAATTTGAATTTGACGTAATTGATGTATTAATAAATCATTCGCTCATCGATAATTCTCAGTATTTTCTAATATAAAATCAATTTCAATCTAAGTTATATTCTGTAAATAATGTAAATTTAAATTGATTTTACAACAGAATGTATGGAAAAATAACGAATGAATTTTATAAATTATGAGTGAAAAACAAATAAACAACTAAATCGTTTACGTAAAGTAAAGAATTGAAGTTGTGTCACCGAAATGGCTTATCTTTTGTTAAATAAACAAAATTCGTTTATCGTGTGATTGCGTCGATTTGCTGATTGATGAAATAAAAAAAATTGAAAACCATGGTAACAACAATATTTGTTTTTGTTTCAGCTTCTCGCGGTGGCCTGCTTGGGTCTGATGTACAAGAACGGGTTAACCGGTGATTTACCAACCGATTTCGTCTCGATCGGAGCCTACGTGGGCTTCATCATCATCCTGGTTGGAGGATTCTCAGGTATTATAGACTTAGAATCACCAAAATTAATAAATTGTGATTTATAATTGTTTCTTTTTCAGGTCACTTGTTGTCCTCTCCGATCACCAGAAGGATCGACGTGTTCTACTGCTTGGTCGGTTGCGCCATGTTCATCGCATCCGGCGCTCTCCTCATCAAAGCTTATGAGAACAGATGGAAATCCGAATCTAGGGATTACGGTTTAGCCACCGGTGCTTTGGCCATCGTCAACGGCGTCGTCTTCATGATCGATTCCCTTCTCACCTGGAGAGGAGACTACTAAATGGAAATAAGAAGCTGAACGTTCGCACGCAGGCTTCGCATCAGGGTTGCTTTTACTCACTATATACCTGTCACCAAACCTCATCTCTACAATTAGTCTACTAAAATATTGGAATTTAAGTCGTGGCTGCCATCATAGACCAATTTTTTTACTTACATTCGCACTTGGGTTCATCTAAAACATACACACACACATAATACGCACTGGATTCTCATTCTCTCTATCTATCTAATACGGAGCACTCTGTAAAAACAAAAGAAAACTCTGATTTAGCTTTAGGAAACGAATCTAAATATTTTTCGAGAGCTTTAAGTGTGCAGAAACAAAAACTATAAGATATATATATATTTATATACACGGAATATATTGATTGATTGATACCGAGCGGAGAAACAAAATTTTTTAAATTTACTTCGATAACATATTTTGAGGCTTTATTTTTTTATACGTGTGTTGTAATTAGACTCTAGTTCTTTTTATTGTTATATTTATATATATTATATATACTAAGTAATATAAAACAAAAAAAAACATCTATTTTTTTTTCACTTTTCCCATCAAATTTACTTAATTTAAGTAAAATTAATGCAGATTTATTATTGTCTTGTCTTTCTTAATATATTACGGATTTATATGAAAGAAATAATACAAGATTCGTATTTTCATATATTTATACGTAGGCAACATAATAAACACAATTCATAAATCGTTCAAAACTTTACATTTTTAAAGTAATTATGATGTGAATTATAATATATGTAATAATTATCCTTATTTCTTTTCTATTTTTATAAGAATTTGTGGATTTTTAAATGAGAAATGCAAGATTTTATATTTAATTTCTATATTTATTATAGGCAACAGAATATACACATAAATTTAAATTCAAAACTTTTAGTATTTATAAATATTTATTATGTGATTTATATTATATGTAATAGCTATATAAACGTTAATTTATATTTAGCAGTATTTAAATCATTATTTTTTCGTTATTTAAATTAATTTGAAGCTTTTTATATTGTTAAACTTTTGTTTTGTTTATAGTTTTTAGTTGTAAACTTTTCTTAATATAAGAAAAACAAATTCGTGATTCTTTATTATTTCTTAATAAATATATCCTTTTTAAAGTTTTTCTGTTTATAATTATTTCAAATTTATATAGTTCAGAAAATGTATTAGATTTGTATTACATTTAAATATTTTATGAATATAATATGTAAATATGAAATGTAAAGCAAATTACTACTAATTTGTAATATTTCTACGAATCAGTAAAATTAACTATGCAACTCTAATTCCATACAGTAGCTGAAGAGCAGGTATACAGGTGGTTGCCAGGGTGATGCACTTGTTTGTAAACAAAGATGTGCTGAAGAAGAGGAGCGACGATGAGTCTGTACTTTGAAAATCCCGTGAATTTTCCGGAATCTGGGACGATTTCGACGAACGAAACTTGGCACCCGAACGCTCCACTTCTTGCGGTCGCCAGTTATTCGCAAGAAAAAGGTGGATTCGTCACCATCTTCGACGACCAGGTGAGCATCGATCATGAAGAATCAATATTGCTTTCATTCTAATTGGGATTCTCTTGTAGGGCGAACCTTTGCACGATGTTAATTGCCCTTACCATGCAGTCTCCCAAGTCACAGCCTTGTCCTGGCATCCGGATCGCAACATCCTGGCAACAGGATGGGAGAGCGGAGAGATCAGGATCTGGAATGGGATTGACAAAGATTTCTTATTGGTGAATGGTCCGCACACAGCACCAGTGACTTTATTGGAGTTCAGTGAGAAGGGAGGACGATTGGTTAGCTGTGATGCTGTAAGTTTAATTAATTGTTTGCATATTACAAAATTGTTTATTAATAATAATTGTTTGTTTGTAGACAGGTTCAATGGTGGGATGGAAGGTGGATCAGAAAGGACAGGTGATTACAGCTTTCCATCACGATTTAAAAGAAGCCGTCACTCATCTAACATTTCGCTTAACTGTGAAAACTCACTTTGAGTACGATGTTGAGGGTCTCGCGAAGGCGGCGGTTAATGGAGATGAGCACGCTTTGGATCTCTTCAGCAATTGGAGACCGAAGACTACGGCCAGGAAGTTCCGTGTCCAGGATGGTACAGATAATCAATGCTTCTTCGTTGGAACGCAATTAGGTAAAAACCCGAAAGTTTACATTTTACAGTTTCATTAATTCTTTAATTCTATTAGGTTCGGTGTATTACGTGAACCAATCCGGTGCTTGCACCGAAGTGCTGAACACGGAAGGAACTCCCTTAAGTTACATCTTGTACCAAGAGAATGCCGAGTCTTTGATCATCATGATGGATGGGTTTACCATAGGTCATTTCAAGGTGGATTTCCAAGGGCATCTGACTGAGCTGGTAAAGGTGAAGATGAGCGGTAGGGCGCAAGGTGTTAGAGCAACAGCTAATCAAGGCTTGATTTGGGCTGGAGGAAGTTGTCTAGCTGTACTAACCGGAGAATTAACAGTTCGTATTTGGGACGTGGATTCCAATGATAATTATGTACTTCCCACCTCGCTGAAGAACTACGGCAGCAACGACGAAATTAGCAAGCAGATCAACGAGATGTTCACTTGCATCTCGTATTGCAAATTAAATCATACTTTATGTGCAGGCACGAACGCTGGTAGGATTTACTTCTGGGTGCAAAAAGGAAGCAAATTTGAAGGAAAGGAAGCCGAGGAGCTGTGGGAATTGAAGACGATAAGCAGTGTTAGCGGTACTGTTAAGCAGGTGCATTGGGGCTCGATACATCTTAGAAATCCCATCCTGAGCGTCAACTGCGTGACTAGGGTTTACATAATGAAGGAGCAAGGATTGTCGGTGGCGTTCAGCGAGAGGATGTGGGCTACGCAGAAGAACGCTTCTCAAATCCTCCTGGAAACCGGAGAAGATAATCTGGTGTTGAATCTGGATATACAGGTGACGGATTTATCAGTGAATCACGAGTGTTTGGCGGCAACAAACGGGAAAACGATTTGTCTTTATGGAGTGGTTAAGAAGAGCAAGAGTAACCAAGAGGAGAAGGATAAAAAGAAAGTATCGAACCTTACCGCAACGTTAATGAGTAGCTTCTCCTGCGACAACGAAACCATCAAACTGCACGGCAAAGACGTCGTAGTTATGTATATTAGCGGCGTTACAATACGAACTTCAAATGGAGGTGTTTTATCAAATATACCCACAGTTTCCAACGAAGGAGAACCTATAGGTAATCAACATAATTATTTATATCATTAAACTAATACAAATCATATTTTTTAGGAATCGATGTGTGCGGTCATTTCTTAACGATATTTACTATGGAAGGTTTTCTGAAAATCTACGATATCTCCGATAGAGAACCGAAGATGGTGACTAGCATCAGGAATATGTACGACATGTGTCCGGATTTCGGAGAGATCATCCAGGCTAAGTCTAACAGCAACGGCACTAGAATTGCGTTGACCGTAGCCGCAGCGAATTTGATTCCCGATGGTAAATTGTACGTTTGGGACGTCGAGAATGATGCAATGGTCAATTACGATTTCCGGAAGGACGTTACTGCCGAATTAGATGAGGAGGAAGAGGATGATCCAGATTTGACTCGCTCTGGCTTCGATAAAGTCTGCACGGATAGAGTCCCATTGGGCTGTTCATGGGATGTTGATGATCCGAGATTGTTGATTTGCAATGCGAGGAAATTGAAAGTAACGAGAGGACCAGAAAGTAAGTTGTGATTTTTGATATTTATAAACCACGAGTATCGAGAAATTGCTTTCAGAAAGTAAAAGTTTAGAGAGCGAAGAGCAAGTTATCGTCAGCATGTTCTTTTCTACGGACAAGGGTATATGCATACAAGACGTGAGGGCCGCACATGCTGATGCTAGGTTGCTGGGTGTTGCTACACCGTACATAGCGATTCTGCATAAGTTGAACGTCGATCGATTGGTGATGAACGATTTCGTGGGATTGGAGACTTGCAATGCGGCTACGAAGAATGCAGTATTAGATTTCAGCTATAACTTGAGCATTGGTACTTATTTAGATTTGCAATCGTTATGTTATTTCAATTCTATTAATTTTTAGGAAATATGGATTCGGCGTTCAAGGCTATAAAGCTGGTACAAAGTAGCGGAGTCTGGAACAGTTTGGCTCGGATGTGCGTGAAGACTAGAAGATTGGATGTGGCTGGAGTGTGTTTAGGACATATGGGTAACGCAAGAGCTGCGAAATTATTAAGACAAGCAATGTCAGATTCCTCTTTACCGCATGAGGCTAAATTGGCGGTTCTTGCAGTGCAATTAGGAATGCTTGTAAGTCCAATCAAAGTAGTGATGTGTTAAAGCTAAATATTAATTGCAGGAAGAAGCTGAGCAGTTGTATATTCAGTGCGAACGGTACGATCTTCTGAATAAGTTGAATCGCGATAGAAATAAAATGGACGAGGCTATTGCTGTGGCTCAGACCAAAGACAGGATACATCTGAGGCACACCGAACATGTTTGGGCGAAGAACATGGAGTTGGAGGGAAATTTTAAAGAAGCCATTGCTCACTATGAAAAAGCCAACACTCATAGATACGACGTTCCTAGGATGTTGATGGATCAGCAGGAGCAACTACAAGGCTACATGTCCAAGACCACTGATCCGTTAGTGTTTCAATTAATATTAAATTCAACTTTATTAATGTTTTATTTAGGGAATTGCTGAAATGGTGGGGTCAATACATCGAATCGCAAGGAGATATGAACGCTGCTCTGCGGATTTATTCGAACGCCGGTGATATTTACTCGCAGGTTAGAGTTCTCTGTTTTTTGGGCGAAGAGAGTAGAGCCAGCGATTTGGCTCGATCGGGGAACGACAAAGCCGCTTTCTACCACATGGCCAGACATTACGAAACTACGGGAAACATCGAGGATGCTGTCGGCTTCTTTACTAGAGCAAACGCTTACAGTAACGCTGTTAGATTATGTAAAGAAAATAACTTGGTTGATGAGTTGTGGAATATTGGCTCAGTGGCTGGTAACAGGGAGAAGCTGGAATGCGCCAGGTATTTCGAGGAGACTGAAACTCTGGATAAAGCAGTTATACTGTATCATCGAGCTGGTAAATTTTTAGAATTAAAATAAGAAATATTGATTATATATTTGTTTTTAGGTATGTTACATAAAGCTTTGGATTTGGCGTTCAGAACGCACCAATTCGATACGTTGCAACAGATCGCAACCGAATTGGATGCGGATTCCGATCCAGCGCTGATCAAGAAATGCGCTGAATATTTCGTCACCAATGAACAGTACGATCGGGCCGTTGATCTTTTGGCTGTAGGAAGGAAGTACGTCGAGGCTATAACCGTATGTCTTGAGCATAACGTCCAACTCAACGAGGATCTATCGGAGAAGCTGACGCCAGAGAAAGACGAGATAGAAGACGGTATGCGTATAAAGGTTTTGGAGAATTTGGCTGAAAGTCTGATGGCTCAAGGGAATTACCATCTGGCCACCAAGAAGTTTACGCAAGCCGGTGATAAGATTAGAGCTATGAAAGCTTTGCTGAAATCGGGAGATACGGATAAAATCATTTTCTTTGCTGGCGTATCGCGCCAACGTGAGATTTACATAATGGCCGCAAATTATTTACAATCCCTAGACTGGCAGAATCAGCCGGAGATTCTGCGCAATATAATAACGTTCTACTCGAAGGGTAAAGCCATGGATTTGTTGGCCAACTTCTACGTGGCTTGCGCGCAAGTCGAAATAGATGAGTTCCAAAACTACGAGAAAGCTTACGGAGCTTTGACGGAGGCGTCCAGGTGTCTGGCGAAGGTTACCCAACCGAGAGATGCAAATCAGCAGCGCAGAGCCACGGAGATCGTGCAACATCAGTTGACGTTCGTCAAACGATTCGTCGATATTAAGAGATTGTTCGAACGTGGTGATCTGCAAACTGGTAAGTAATATCGGATTGCAATAAATTTGTGATTGTTTATCTATTTTCTATTAGGTATGACACAATGTAAGCAGCTGTTGATCTCTGGTGGTAAAGATTTGGAATCGTCGGTGCGTCGCGGCGATATATACGCGCTCATGATACAGATCTGCGTTAAGAACGAGAGTTTCCCAGAGGCCAGACAACTTTTCCTGGAGCTTAAGCAGGTGCTCGCAGCCACCACCAATGTTTCGGTCACGTATTATGTTAACAAGGATATATTGGAAGCTTTGGCTAAAGGACTCGGGATTCCGCTCTCCTCGTTGGTGCCGATCGCGGAGAAAGTCGATGAAGTCGGAAAAGTTGATGAGGATGATGAGGAGGAGATTGTAGAGGAAATGGTTAATGAGTAATATCACTTTAATTTTATGTAACTAATCCGTCCATGATTTGTGATTTACGCGTTTAGATTTAAGCTTATTGTTATTTTAGGTATAGTTTCCATAGAACGTATTATTCGTTACTATGGTTTCAACTAGCAACACTATCCACTTGATAATTACTGGTAATTAATTAATAGACAATTAAAACTTTGATTAAGACTTAAATAAAAATCAATTATTGTTTGCAATTAATAAAGCAATTGATGTAAGATTTAAATTGAATAACAGATTGATTATGCAAATCAATTGATGGGATTTACATATAATATAAGATTAACGTGAGAAGCGCATAATTTGAATTTGGCGCCAGGGATTTGGAGATGCTGCACGCTTCAAAGGAAAAGTTTGAAATAGGACAATTGCTTTCTCATGAGTGCACGAAAATGGTTGTTCCTCTGTGCATAATGCTTGTAACACCTGTAAATTGAAAGAGATGTGCTGGAAGGAAGATGTGGAGGAGATTTTTTTCAATTGTAAGAAAGACGTTGTGAGATGCGCAAAAGGCAGTGATACCAACGTGCGTAAGTACGCTATTAACTGATTCTCTTTAGTTTAGAAGGATAAATGTTAGGCTTTAGGATTAGATAATGTGCGGACGATGGAAATCTTCGCTTCCGGATTGTGTTTTCCGGTTTGCAATGAGAATGTGATTGGATCGGCGTCGATCTTCGGAGCGGCGTTCGTTGGCAGCAGTGGCATCCTGCCATCTTAGTTTGTTTATTGTTTGTAGCGCCCCGCGACCGTTGTCTTGAGATTCGCCGTGTTAATTTGTCGAGATTTTCTCTAATTGGAGCCGGAGAGGTGCGTAAATGAGCGCGAAGGTGCGCTGCGTTGGGGCGTCGCGACGTCGGTGACCGCGGACCACGCGAAACGCCGGGAAATACCCGAATTTTCCCAGATCCCCCCCCCTCTCTTTGTCCGCCGAAAACTGTGTGTGGTGTTTCGACTGCTTCATAATGGCTTCCCTTCGCGTCCCTCCACGGCCGAGCGGAAAACAATGACAGCGGCCGTCGTCGATGTTTGTTTCACGTGATTTTTACTGGACGCGAGGAAAACATGACTTGATTATCATCCCCTGTGAGTGAGACCGGACCCGAACGATACATTTATTATATACATACAATAGTCCATCAAAAAAGAAAGAAAAAACCCCCCTCTGATCCAATCCATCAATCTTTCCTCTCCTCCTCCTCCTCCCACACAGCAATAATCTCTGTACAACTCTTGTAGTAATAATAATCATTTCAAATTCGTTTTCGCCAAGATGAACTCGAACGAACCGGGTGACCACTCGCTGGCCGCCTCGCATCCCCCAACAGATTCCAACGAAGTAAGCACTTGTACCCATATTGCAATGTTCTCAACCTCCCCCTCAAACATAATGCTCACTCAATCCTATTTGTTTGTTTGTTTTCATTGTAGGGTAACCAAAGGCCACCATCAACGATCACCACATCGGCTGCCACTGACCTAAGGGTGAACACAACAGCTCTGAATGCGGTTGCTCTGAGTAGTGTCGCCAAGTATTGGGTGCTCACCAACCTGCTGCCTGGACCCGTACCACAAGTTGCTGTCTATGGCCTTCCAGGATCTGCGAAGCCTGAAAACCAACCCAAAGTCTCACAGGTGATTATCCAATCTTAAGATTATATTTATGCCGAAGCATTCATTAATGCACCATAACAAAACTACACATGTCAGTATGTTAATACTTCACAAAAGGTAGTATTCGCAATACACTTACCATAAACTAATTTCATACCACTATTCGTTGCTTTTAATTAGACTGTTGTGATAAATTTTAATTAGTTAAACTATTTTCAACCAATTGAACTCTAACACGTGACTTATTTTCTTTATTAATTGTTCTGTTATTCTACAGTATCAGCATTTTACAATAAGCAATGTTAGTTATCGGTATACACACTACAAATACCTCATGATCCAATCTTGACATTGTCATGATCTAGGATTATTCATTCAAACAACTAATTATGTTATATGTATATTCTAAATAATTTGTCACTAAACTAAATGTTGATTAACAGAACGCAAATTGCTAATTGTTAGGAAACTTTTCTAGTTCATTGAGTTATAACTGTTATGGACTGTGGTGATGGATATCCCATGCTGTGTTATAATTTAATAATGCCATTGCTTTACAGATGTCTCAATCATCTATATAAGAATGTGACAATCCTATTGAATCCAAGTATTAATGAAGTGACTGTTAATTTTGAGTGTATTATTTCAAGACACTGAGTCATCATTTTTATTAAGATAAATTTGTTAACGTTCATATGTTTATACTTCTAGACTGCTTTTCGCATTTTTATTGGCATATTCTTAGAAGTTGTAAAATAATTTAGATAAAATTTTGCCTTGATCGCTTTGTTAGTAATTTCGGGGGTTCCCTGCAATTCTTTTGTGGGAGATTCATTCCTACATGTAATAGTTATTTGTGAGTACGTTTTTGAAATAAGTGCTTTTGTTTGTATCTACACTATTCGCTAGTTAATTTTTGTATAAAATGAAAATGGACGTCTTCAGCGGTGTATGTATAATTATAAAAGCATTAGTCTGCAGGATAAAGTTTATTTTAGTATTTATATGGGCTAGTGTGTCATAATTTAGTACGTCCTTAAAATTTAAAGAACACCCTGAAGTCTTATTGATTTTTGCAGTTTTTATTTTAATGTGTACGAAATCTTAAAGTGAATATAGAAAGATCTGTTTAACAAAAAAAAAATCTGATCTTTATTTTTAAGAATCTGTTAACATTTTTCAATAATGTTCTCTTGTTATATAATAAGTAATTATTAACACACATTGAATGCATTGAAATCTTGTTTAGGAATCGATGATGCCTCAACACGGCGGACTAATACCGCCTGATAACGTGCTACTGCATAATTCGCAAGTACCGCCGGCAAATCTGACGATACCAACGACCATGCACTTGGAATCGCAGCAGAACGGACATCCGCAAATCAACCATCAGCAACAAGAAAATCAAAATATGGTTTCCCAACAACAACATAATCAAATGCAACAACAGCAACAGCAGCAGCAGCAACAACAACAGCAACAACAGCAGCAGCAGCAACAACAACAGCAACCGCCGCCTTCGCAGCAACAGAATATGGTTCAAGTGCAAGTGCAAGATAACATGGTTTCTGTAATTGAAGATAGCAAAGACCATAAAGATATAATTGCTTCTCAATTGGTGCAAGCGCAGTTGCTGAATGAGAATACCCAAATGGGACAGCAGCAGCAACAACAGCAACAAGGTTTGACGCCACAGCAGATCCAGCAGATGCAAGTACAGCAGGTTTTGGATAACGTTGTTCGAATGGATACCGGCGAAGGTAATCAAGCGAACGATGAGCACATTGGACCAGATGGCATGCAGATCAAAGATGAGAAGGTCATGCAGAACTGCACGAAACTGTTGGGCGGCCAATTCGGTATGCCCGATATTAAAACTAATTTGATGGACGTCCGGACCGCAGATGGAAGCATCGTCAAGATATCAGCCGGTGAGTGTGTTGTTTCGCAAGGAAATTTCCAATTGTTGGGTATTTCTTGCTGCGTAACGTAAACATTTGGTGACTTATTATTAATCTTAAAAAGGTATTCAAGATCAAGATTTGGCCAAAACGCTTGGAGCTGCTGAGATGGTGCAGAGCATGTACAAAGTGAACGTCGACGACATCAACCAGCTGTTGGCCTACCACGAGGTGTTTGGAAAGTTGCAAGGCGAAATAACGGGAGGCGCTGGGAATCTGGTGCAGAATAATCCGGGCGGTCTTCAGGGTGTGAACAGCATCGCGGTGGTGCCGAAAATGGATAATGATCAAGAAGCATCGACCAGCGGGCTGAGCACCGACAGTCCACCCGCTGTGATTACAGGTACGTCTTGATTCATTGAACTGATTGATCATTTCTGATAAATACTGTGTTTTCGCAGGTAATCATGTGTGTGATTTATGTGGAAAAATGTTCCAGTTTCGTTACCAGTTGATAGTGCACAGACGTTATCACACTGAACGAAAGCCATTTACTTGTCAGGTATGCGGGAAAGCTTTTACGAACTCCACGGAGCTGAGCAGGCACGGAAAATGCCACCTAGGAGGTAGCATGTTCACCTGCAATGTTTGCTTCCACGTGTTTGCGAACGCCGCTTCTTTGGAGCGTCACATGAAGCGACATACCACGGATAAACCATACCCGTGCACGTTATGCGGGAAGTCTTTTGCTCGTAAGGAACACCTCGAGAATCACACCAGGTGTCACACAGGTGAAACACCGTACAGGTGTCAATACTGCGCAAAGACGTTCACGAGGAAGGAGCATATGGTGAACCATGTGAGGAAGCATACGGGTGAGACTCCTCATAGATGCGAAATTTGTAAGAAGTCCTTCACAAGGAAGGAGCACTTCATGAACCACGTGATGTGGCATACAGGTGAGACTCCTCATCAGTGCACCATATGCGCCAAGAAGTACACTAGGAAGGAACATCTTGCAAATCACATGAGATCACATACGAATGATACGCCGTTTAGGTGAGTTTCAACAACATTTTTGATGTGAAATAGTGATTTTTATTTAAAATGTTTTACGTGTTTGTTTTGTTTTATGCAGATGCGAGATTTGCGGGAAATCATTTACAAGGAAAGAGCACTTCACGAATCACATCATGTGGCATACGGGTGAGACGCCCCATCGCTGCGACTTCTGCTCGAAAACGTTTACACGGAAAGAGCATTTGCTGAACCACGTGAGACAGCACACGGGCGAATCGCCTCATCGGTGCGGTTACTGTTCGAAGAGTTTCACGAGGAAGGAGCACCTGATCAACCACGTGCGTCAACATACTGGAGAAACCCCGTTCAGATGCAGCTACTGCCCGAAAGCGTTCACGCGAAAAGATCACCTTGTCAATCACGTCCGTCAGCACACCGGGGAATCGCCTCACAAGTGCACGTATTGCACGAAGAGCTTCACCAGAAAGGAGCATCTCACCAACCACGTCCGGCAGCACACCGGCGAGTCTCCGCATCGCTGCACGTTCTGCTCGAAGAGCTTCACCAGGAAGGAACATCTGACCAACCACGTCAGGATACACACCGGAGAATCTCCACACAGATGCGAATTCTGCCAGAAGACGTTCACGAGGAAGGAGCATCTCACGAACCACTTGCGGCAGCACACCGGCGAAACTCCGCATTGCTGCAACGTGTGCTCGAAACCGTTCACGAGGAAGGAGCAACTCATCAATCACATGAGATCCCACACAGGTAAATTTCTAGGTGCGTCCCAAGTAATATCGAGTTACGCACGTAATTTCTGGATTACTTTCAGGCGAGAGACCGTTCAGTTGCGGCGAGTGCGGTAAATCGTTCCCGCTCAAAGGAAACCTGCTCTTCCATCAAAGGTCGCATAACAAGGGGGCTGCAGCAGAGAGGCCCTTCCGCTGCGATTTATGTGATAAAGACTTTATGTGCAAAGGGCATCTGGTGTCGCACAGGCGTTCACACAGCGGCGAAAGACCGCACGCCTGCCCGGATTGCGGTCGCACCTTTGTCGAAAAAGGCAACATGTTGAGGTACGATACATTTGAAAATGAAAACACAAATGATTACACAATATTATTATTTCAGGCATTTGAAGAAGCACGCCGCTGAGAATTTAGCAGCTCAGCACGGGCCTAACGCCGCCAACCATCAACCGCCTACACAGCCGCAGCCGCCGCAGACGAGCGTTGCCAACGTGCAGATACCGCAGGTCACGCAGCCGCCTCCGCTTCCTGTAACGTCGGGGGCGGCGATCGTTCAGCAGACGTTGAGCATGCATCCGCAGAACCCGCACCCCGTCGTGGTGCCAGCAGCTAACGGTAACGTTCTCGCGTCGTATTAACAAGGGCAAAGAAAAGAGAGAAAAAAAAAAACGATGCGCACCGAATATTTCCGAGGATCGAGCTCCTCCCACAACAACGTTTTGTTTTGCCATTTAGTGCCATTTCTTTTGCCAAAAAAAAAGGATTTTCTTTTTTTTTTATTAAATTATACTTTTCTCGGATGATGCAAGCAGAATGGAAACGTCGACCAAACTACTTAATATGCCTTAAAAAGGGTTGCGGGGTGTGCAGGTTGCACGCCCTATTCGTTTTAACGCTCCGCTCCGCTCGATGCGTGTAAATAGTAAGGTGGAATTCGGTGGGGGCGTTAATTTGAACAAAAAACCTCGTCTGTTTTTTTTATTTTTCGTAGACGATGAATGTAGATGAAACGATTGTATAAGAAGAGAGAGATATACACACGAATTAACGATTATTTTGTTAGGCCATTTGTTGATAATTTTTTGTATACAGGGTGTTCTTTTTTCTTTAGAAAGATCAACAACCACCAACACAGCACCACCTGTATATGATCTGTTGAATATAGATTAGCCGTTTATACACATTATATATATATAAATATATATGCATGGCCAGTGCGTAGAGTGAAAGAGATATATAGCGAGAGAAAGACACGAAGAGAGATTGAGAGACCGGACGGAGGAATAAAAAAAAATTATTAATAATAATAATAATATTAACATAGTATTTTAAAAGATAATGTACATAATTAATGAAAAGAAGATTATTTTTGTTATTTGTATATTAACTATATAATAGCAGGATATATAGAAAGAGAACAGTGGATTTAAACAGAATAATAATTATAATTATAAATAAGAGAAAGGAGGAGAATGAATAATTGAAGGTGGAGTGGACTTGATGAGATTTCGTTTCATTTGCATTTATATATATATATATAGTATATATACTTACTCGGATTGAGTTCTGGATTTATTTTGATACATTTTTCTTTTCTTTTAATTTAAAAAAAAATTTTTTCTTTAATTTTCGTTTCTTTCCGAATCTATTATAATCACTATGACCACTAACAATGTTCGGAACTAGGACTAGGCATGCAAGAAAATGTGATAAATTTTGTTTTTAGGATTACCGTTTGTTTTCGTGTATTAATTTTTTTTTTTTTGAAATTTTCGGTTTCGTTGGATCTGCTGTAATATTTCTCAAAAAACAAAAATCACGTCAGCTTTATAGCTTGCTTGATGCGTGCAGCGTGCAATGTGCAAAATGAAAAGACAATCGGTTTCACGTGAAATCCAAAGACTACTCGATCTCACGCGGAACGGATTCATTTTGCTCATTTCAGTATAAACTTTATACATAGACTCACGTACACTAATCTCTGTTTTTTTTTAAATTAATTAATTAATTAATATTAATTACGTTTAATTTAAAGTCTCGCCCCCTCAAGACTTGTTTACTTTTCTTTTATTTAAGTAACTTTTCGAGTTGTAGCGCAGATCTACACGAGAATGTGGCGTTGCGAACAATTTAAACCCTTTCCCTTTTGTAAATATCATTTGTAGCATGGAATATGGCGCGAATTGACCTTTTTTTTCTTTTATATAATTTTTATATATATATATAATTTTTTTTTTTCGTTCGTTCGTTTTGATGTGTTTTTTTCCCTTCGTTTCCAGGCGAAATGAGTGAAAGAAACGAAGTGAAAAAGAAAATAAGAACTAATAGTATTATGCGATTCTTTAACTTAACTTTATTCGTTCTTTAATTTAATTATCACTAAACAATTAATTAGGACACGAAATAATAGTACGGCTCGCTCGTAAATATTTTCTTGTGAAGAAACAAAAGGATGGGACGATCCCAACAAAAAACAAAAATGAACGAAGTGCAATTAATAATTGTATAGAAAAGAAACAAATGCAAAATTGTATTAAATTAATTATGTAGTGTGTACACTGCGATTCTCAAATACCGCGCGCGGTGGTGCACGTTCTTTTGTTTTTCTTCCGACTTTTAACCCTCATCCCCCCATCCCCCCCTGCATTAGGGAATTAAATTACCACGTATATTTTTTTTTGTTTGTTTTGTTAATGTTAAATTAATTAATTAATTTACTTAAACTGATTGTAATCCGCTGCAATAGGAAATATTTACCGAGAGTGTATTTAAAACGAGAGACAGAGATATATAGAGTTACAAAAAAAATAATAGAAATTCTATATATATATATATTATACTTTATAGATGATTTTTTTTTATAAATATTATTTTATTTTTTATTTATATCATTAATTTTTTTTTATGATGGATTTACCTTTTTCTTGCCGCTAAAACAATTCCTTGATTAATTAGCGTTTTTTTATTATTATTTTTGTTTGTTTGTTTGTTTCTAATTAGAGAAATGGAAGAGTTTTTAGTGAAGAGAAAAGAAGTGAAGGTGAGCAAGATTTTTTTTTGATCGACGCTGCAACGGACTTCTTTGATTCTTTCCTTGATTTGTTATGTGATGTTATTGTTTCGTATGTTTACGCAATCTAGATTGCTTTCGAGACTTACATGTTGTAAAGGTAAGTGCCTTAGTTTATTACGTAACTAATCTCAAAATTACGCAGTTTTAGAGCTACAAAAGATGAGAAATTATGGATTGAATGTATTGTGACAAATCTTAACATTGCGCGGATTTAGCTACGACAGTTGCATTGAATAATCTATAAATTAAGTAACAAATCTTAATACTACGTAGATTTAATTACAAAAAAATGAGGATTTTATATCTTTGATAACTAATTTCAAGTCTTGAATCACCTAGTTTTAGCTACAAAAGTTGAGAATTTTATATCTTTGTAACAAATCTTAATACTACGTAGATTTAGTTACAAAAGTTTAGATTTTTATATATTTGATAATTTCACTTTCTCAATTGATTTATTTATAAATTAAGTAACAAATCTTAATACTACGTAGATTTTGTTACAAAAATTGAGAATTTTATATATTTGATATCCAATTTCAACTCTTGAATGAATCATTTATAAATTAAGTAACAAATCTTAACACTACGTAGATTTAGTTACAAAAGTTTAGAATTTTATATATTTGATAATAATTTCACTTTCTCAATTGATTCATTTATAAATTAAGTAACAAATCTTAATACTACGTAGATTTAGCTACAAAAATTGAGAATTTTATATCTTTGATCACTAATTTCAATTCTTGAATTGAATAATTTATACATTAAGTAATAAATCTTAACACCACATAGATTTAGCTGCAAAAGTTGGGAATTTTATATCTTTGATAATAATTTCACTTTCTCAATTGATTAATTTATAAATTAAGTAACAAATCTTAATATTACGTAGATTTAGTTACAAATATTGAAAATTTTATATCTTTAATAACTTATTTCAACTCTTGAATTGAATCATTTATAAATTAAGTAACAAATCTTAACTCTACGTAGATTTAGCTACAAAAAATAAGAATTTTATATCTTTGATAACTAATTTCAACTCTTGAATTGAATAATTTATAAATTAAGTAACAAATCTTGATATTACGTAGATTTAGCTACAAAAGTTAAGACTTTTATATCTTTGATAATAATTTCACTTTCTCAATTGATTCATTTATAAATTAAGTAACAAATCTTAAAACTACCTAGATTTAGTTACGTAAGTTGGGATTTTTATAGTAATTTCTACAAATACTTTAACTATTCTTCATATAGCAACTTTATTTGAATTGTTAATTTGAATTCTTCTCACGAGAAGTAGTAGTTATTAACTGGTAATAATATCTTTTAAGCATTCTTGATGATTCAATTAAGAAAATATGAGCATGGTTCGATGGCTTTAATGTCTTGTTATTGTTTATTAACACACAATTTTTATGTGCGTCAACCTTGACGACGATGACCGTTTTGGTCATATTGTTGTGGGTGTTCAGGAATTTGAATGTTTGTCGGACCTTGCGTGAATTTCTCCACAAAAAACCCACGATTTTATATAACTATAAACAATATTGAATCCAAATAAACTTCCAAATCGGAATATTTGATATGAAAAGTAACGATTTGTTTATCGATAATTTCAAAGATTTGCTATAATTAGACAATTCATATTCTGATTAGATTATGATTAATTTTGTTTTTGAGTAAATTAATCTTGAAAGAATGCTTCAAGTAGAAAAGTATACGTAATAATTTCATTGGTTTTTCATGAAAAAAATGCAAGTGTTAACTGAAATGGAAAGAAAATGCAGCAATTTAAGTCGAGTAATGTTAATAGTGTTGCATACGTTACTTTTCAAGACTGTTTTTCTTTTATCAATTTTAGTATTACTCAGTGGTGGAGCTACAATGGGATTTCTATGAAATTTATACACCAATTTCTATGAATTTTTCAAGTAATTTTTATAAGATTATTAAACGTATTTCTAGGAGATTTATACACCAATTTCTATTGATTTCTATCTGATTTTTCGAAGTGATTTTTATAAGATTATTATAGTTATTTCTGAGATTTTTAACGAATTTAATGAGATTTATACAGAAATTTCTAATGATTTCTATAAGATTTTTATGGGGTTTCTATAAGAGTTCTAAACATATGTTGAACTACAAATAAGTTCAATGGCTTTTTATAAAAATAGTTCAAAATTGATTGATTAAGTTAAATTTAAAAGTAGTTCATTTGAAATGTAAAAATAGCGTTTTTTTTTTATAAATATTTTCTATAAATTAAGTCAAAAACTAACTGCTTTTGGGATTTTTGATGAAGAATGCTTTGAAGTTTGTTTCTCTAATTTTGTTTTTTTCTTTTGATGTAATTGGAATTAAGTGAACCTGTTTCACATAAGTATCCAAAAAAAGAAAGAAGAAACGTGGGAAGATTGTGGAATTCGGGGTGGATGTCCTCCCGTCAAAATAACATCATTATTAATAGCATTTCGATTGTTTCTAAATCACAATAAATCAGTGCGTTCGCGGCTGTGTATATCTCTTATCTCGCGCATTCTGGTCGAAGTCCTCGGAATGGCGCGCATCCATACGCTATTAATTCAATTAAGACTCGAAACTCTAAAAATAAACCGAAACCCATCTAATGAGAATGAGCAGAAAATCGAATTCTATTTTGAACGTGAAATAACGCGATTAGCCCGAAATTCTATTACCGTTAATACGTTTACACGAACTGTTTGCGGCCGAATTTCTCAATCGAAACACTTTTTTTTTTTACCATAATGATTTTTCCTATTCAATATCTTCATTTGTGAGTTAAAGTTAATGGTAAGTTGAAAATACTGCTTAAATGTTTAATTGTAAGACTTTTTCTTAATGATTTTTAGTCTTCCAAATGATAACTTATGAGATAAAGTTAACGGGAAGCTAAAAATAATTCTCGAATTTCTAAACTCATTATTTTTCTGCTTCTAATAGCATGACTTTTTCTTAATGATTTTTAGTCTGCGAAATGATAACTTATGAGTTAAAGTTAACGGGAAGTTGAAAATACTTCTCGAATTTCTAAACTCAATACTTTTACCACTACGATTTTCAGTTTTTCGTGTTGTGCTAAACTTTTTCGCTGGTTAAAGTTAACGAGAAATTGAAAATATTGCTTAAATGTTTAATAGCAAGACTTTTCCATAATGACTTTTCGCATTGAACATTTTAATTTGTGACCTAAAGTTAACGCGATGTTAAAAATACTGCTTCTAATAGCAAGTTAAAGTTAACGGGAAGTTAAAAAAAACTTCTCGAATTTCTAAACTCAATACTTTTATCAGTACGATTTTCAGTTTTTCCTATTTGTAAACTTGTGCTAAATTTTTTCGCTGGCTAAAGTTAACGAGAAGTTGAAAATACTGCTCAAATGTTTAATAGCAAGACTTTTCCCATGATGATTTTTCGCATTAAACATTTTAATTTGTAACACGATGTTAAAAATACTGCTCGAATTTTTAATAGCAAGACTTTTTCTTAATGATTTTTGGTCTTCCAAATTATAACTTACGAGTTAAAGTTAACGGGAAGTTGAAAATACTTCTGGAATTTTTTTCATATTTGTAAACTTGTGCTAAACTTTTTCGCTGGCTAAAGTTAATGAGAATTTGAAAATACTGTTCAAATGTTTAATAGCAAGACTTTTCCATAATGACTTTTCGCATTGAACATTTTAATTTGTGAGCTAAAGTTAACGCGATGTTAAAAATACTGCTTCTAATAGCAAGACTTTTTCTTAATGATTTTTAGTCCTCCAAATTATAACTTATCAGTTAAAGTTAACGGGAAGTTGAAAATACTTCTGGAATTTCTAAACTCAATACTTTTACCACTACGATTTTCAGTTTTTCCTATTTGTAAGCTTGTGCTAAACTTTTTCGCTGGCTAAAGTTAACGAGAAATTGAAAATACTGTTCAAATGTTTGATAGCAAAACTTTTACCATGATGACTTTTCGCATTGAATATTTTAATTTGTCAGTTAAAGTTAACGCGATGTTATTAATACTGCTCGAATTTTTAATAGCAAGACTATTTATTCATTATTTTTGGTCTTCCAAATTATAACTTATCAGTTAAAGTTAATGGGAAGTTGAAAATACTTCTGGAATTTCTAAACCCAATACTTTTACCACTACGATTTTCAGTTTTTCCTATTTGTAAGCTTGTGCTAAACTTTTTCGCTAGCTAAAGTTAACGAGAAGTTGAAAATACTGTTTTCGTATAGTAACGTAAGTAATATAGTGGGCATTAGAAGGGGGGAGAAGAGTCTAATTGAAAATTATGATAACGTGTTTCTGTAATGGATATATAATTACGTGTGTCGTGGTTTATCGTTATAATTTCTTTTTCGCACGTCGCGA